CCCCAAAACCCCAAAACCCCAAAACCCCAAAACCCCAACAGTTAAATAATTTGCTGAAATTTCTAAGATAAAAATTAATATGAGTGAAAATCAAAAAGATTACTACGAGGGCTGGCTCAAAAAGAAGAAATCTGATGAGTCAAATGGCTTCTTCTCCAAATTCAATTGTAAGTCCTTCATTTTACCTTGTCTGACTTCTTATAGCTTATAACAAAAGATGGTTCATCATTGATACTGAAGCAAGGACGTTCTCTTACTCAGATGGACAGAAGAAGAAAATCAAGAAGGAGTACTCCTTCGATGACATCACTGGAATTGAAGAAGCTCATGACCAGGGCCAGAAAGCGCCTGGCAAATGGAAATTTAAATTCACTGTGATGACGACTGATAAAGCCTTCGATTTGTTCTCGAGAACTGAGGAAGAATGGAAAATTTGGGTTGAGTCACTGAAAGCTATACTTGTCCCAAAAGAAGATCCTTCTAAGAAAAAGAAGAAGAAAAAGAAGAGTAAGAAAAACAAGAAGAAGGACAAAAGTATTGACATGGACCAAATATTTGTCAAGAGAGGTCCAAGAGAGACCGTTAAGTTAGAGCCTTCGGCTCCACTCGAGATGGTAGAACTGAATCCTCACTATTCAAGGCCATCCCATGAAAATGAAAATGAGTCTGGGATGAATAAACCTCCAATGATTAAAAGAAAGAGAACAAATCTTGAACAGTACAATTTCCGTATCACCCAAGACTTTATTGAGCCCTCCACTCAACTAAGCACAAGGGAGGGGGCATTAAAATTACGCGATTCGGACCTATCCAAAAATGACCAGGCTACCAATAATACATCCAAGAACCACTTTGCTTCTTCATCTAGCCTCGATACACCTGAGAAACAAGAGAGAGGCCCTACTGAATTAGTTCAGGAGGGAGAGGCTCCTTTTGAGGAGAACTGGGATGAAGATTTTGGGACGATAGAAGATATCACCCATAAAAAGAGAGTCCTCAATTACTAATTGTTATTCACAATTTAAATTTGCTCAACTACTTCTCTTCATTTGCTCGTGGGGTTTGAGGGAATAGGCGGTGAGAGCAGCCCTTTACTGCCCTTCTTGAGAAATTTGGGAAAAGATCTCTTGCCAGGTGTTCCCATAAGGGTAGGAGAACTTTTTAGATTTTAGTTTAACAAATTAGTTATAGTTAATACACTTCATAGAGATGAACATTTCACCTAAATAACTAGGAGAGCAACTTAGAATTAGAGTTTAGAGCTATAGAGGAGACAATACAGGCCTAAGTTTGCTTTTGATGAGTTTACTACTTTGGCTAGTCCCTCCATTTTTCATCGGTAAACTTCGTTGACTTAACTCAAAAATTCAGCAGATAGAAATATCTAATTATTTCATGAATAGAAAGTATAATTACTATGCTCATAAGAACATCCTGGTATTGTTAGTCAAGCCTGATAGTATAAAAGTATGCAAAATTGGGGTATAAAACTAGATTTTTAGGCTCTCTCACTTCGCTTGTAAAGCTCTGAACATGTTTTACACACAAAAATTACTATTTTATCTTTTAATTGCTATAACGAATTTCTGTTGATTAGTCACCAACCTGGATCACCCAATTTGGGGTTTTGGGGTTTTGGGGTTTTGGGGTTTTGGGGTTTTGGGGTTTTGGGGTTTTGGGG